GGCTCCAGGGTTTACTGATCACATCCACACCACCAGCGGTGTAACCCCAAAAAACAGGAGGCAGGAAAACACGTGCTGAGAGGCTTGACCCATCCCCCGGCTCCACAGACAGCCAAAGCGGCCCAGGCTGTAGCGTCAATAAGACCAGCCTTGTCTGAAGCTGGAGGCACAGTGTGAGTGGCAAGGGGATGAGAGAGCCATCCAGAGCCTTTGCAAAGGCACAAACCCAGGGTACCTGGTCACTACAACAGGCACGAATGTGCTAAATCAAGGTGTCCATGGGACATGGTAGAATTCCTTAGATATCAGGAGCTATAATCCTGAATCCGTAAGCCATTCCAGCCTTTCCCGTCTACATGTCTTTGCCGTCCCACCAAGGGGCTTGGCAGCAGAGGGAAAACTCCTGAGTCGCCAGGACTAGAGACATCTCACATCACTGAGAGGCACAAGTTCCATGTATCAGAATCGGATGAACAACAGTAAGAGGGATGGGCTTCCCATTAGCTGGGGCCCTTAACTATAGAATGACTATCTCAGTGGTGACGTAAGAATGACGCTAAACTCAGAAGACAAGTACCCTGTCTGTGTGTTCTTTTCATTAAATACTTCTTATTGATATCTTTTGTTCTTCTGTCACCAAAATTCTTCCCAGAATCCCTCCCTCTCTCTCTCCCAGAGAGCCATCCAATACAATATTTTGTGTGTGTGTGAAAATGTTACAAGACAAGTGGTCTTGATTTTTCCATCTTCCTTCATTTGAATACCCGCAGCATTTATACTTTTGCTATTGAGGCATATTTGTTAGGATAAAAGGACTAATTATTTACCTACAGACCTTTTTTGCTGTCACTCAGTAGCGCCATCACATCAAGCTCTTGGTGACCCATGGACCACAACACGCCAGGTCCTCCTACCCTCCACTATCACCTCAAGTCTGTCCAAGGCCAAGTTCGTTGTTTCCATGACACTATCTACCCATCTCATCCTCTGCCCTTCCCTTTGCCTTTGCCTTCAGCCTTTCCCAACACCAGCGTCTTTTCCAACGAGTCTGGTCTTCTTATTACATGGCCAAAGCATTTAAGCTTCAGCTTCAGTCTTTGACCTTCCATATAATATTAGAAGGAATAAGAGAAAAAAAATCAATAAAACCAACCCAGAGATAGAAAAAGTCTGAAAATATGTGCAGGGTTCCACCCCTGCGGGCCTTGCACTCTGCAAAGGAGAGGAAGGGGTGTCTTCTCCCAATTCTCCCTTCTTTGGGGCCAGGCTTGCCCTTTGTAATTTCACAATATTCACTGTTAATTGTCCTTCGGTCATTCTTACCATTTACGTGGTCATAGTTATTGCACAGACTGCTTCATTCTGCATCAGACCATGAAAGTCTTGTTCTCTGGGTATTCTTAAGTGACTAAAAAGGCCAGTTGAGGGGTAGCTAGGTGATACAGTGGATAGTACACTGGCCTTGAAGTCAGAAGGACCTGAGTTCAAATCCGGCCTCAGAGGATCAAACACTTGACACTTGCTAGCTGTGTGACCCTGGGCAAGTCACTTAACCCCAACCGCCAAAAAAAAAAAAAGGTCAATTGAGGTCAAGCAGCTCCGGCCATCATTTGGACGTGTCCACATACAGGGTTCATTCACTCATTCACTCTGTGAATAAAGATGCATCGAGCACCCACCCAGCACTGAACCCTGGGCTGGCACAAGGTCTAGACAGACGTGGCTCTTGTCCTCAGGAAGTGTCACCCTTCTCCTGTCTGTTTTTCCTTTATTATGACCATCCTTTTCCCCCTATAACACAGCATTCCCAAGCGCCACCATGGGAAATAGTTCTGAGCTGTCCCCATCCCCCACCCCACGTGATCTCCTCCCACGCTTCTGTTTCTGGTTTGCTTTTCACCAAACCACTGGATGCTGCGGCTCAAATGCACTCCGCACCTTTGGCAGAAACGTCTGCTCTCAAAACAGATGCTTTTAGTGAGCGCTGCTGAGGAAGGGTCTCACCCTGAGTCTGTATTTTAGGCTGAACGTAAATGCTGCTCACAAACTCGAATTAAGCCCAATGCCCTGGGAAACTATCTCCAACAGGCCTGGGCAGCTTCAGGTCGAATTTAAATTGTTGCAATATCACCAGCACTAACATTGTGGGAATCAATATTGAACTTACCTACTTTGCCATAAATGAGATCGATTTTCCTAGAGGATATAAATGATTAGTATGGAGTCCAAAGGGCAACAGGAGAAAGTCAGACAAAGGCCCAGCAGCCCCATGAATTGCAACATTAACTTCTGGGGCCTTTTAGCTCCCTAATTGTGCCCTCAGGGATCCCTGTGGGGGGAGCTGTGGGGAGCAGCTGAGGATGAATCAACCGCAGCATCTTCTCCAATTGGTGCCCGCTTTTCTACCTCCAATATAATAATTTCAGTAAGTATGTGGTTATCTTGATCTAAAAAGTCTTCAGTCCAATTTACTGTCCCACAGGGTCTATGGAGGAGCACCACTCACAGCTACTTAATACCAATCAACCAGGAAGCATTTATCAAGTGCCTACTTGATAAACGTGGCCCAAACATGGGCCAGCCCCGGGCCTCAAGAAGCTTACATTTTAATGGGGAGACAACACACACATGAATCTAGTTTTCTGATACAACTGCTGAGATTCTCTTCTGTTCGGCTCCACCCATGAGGAAAACGATCCCTTATGAACCACCAGAGTCACCTTAAGTCACAGTCTTCTCCAGAAGGTATCCCTGGGTTCCCAAAGGACATATCAGCAAAGCATGAGTCACTAAGGCTTCAAGGGAGAGCCCAGGCATGGACTGACTGCACATCTAGCATCCAATGGGGAGCCTGGCTAGACTCAGAGGCCTATCCCAAGAAGATTAGGCACCAAGAGAGAGTTCTACCCCAGCAACTCAAGAGGACCACCTAAGGCGTAGAGCCCCTGGAGCCAAGGAGAAAACATCCCCACCACTACAACCATAGACCTTCCCAAGAATTTCATTAACTACCAAGATATAAGCAATGCAGTGTGGTGCTTTGCTCGTGGAGAGTGGGCCAGACTGGACTCAGAAGGCCTGGGTTCACATGACTCCTCAGCCACATACTGGCTGTAGGAGAGCCCAGGCGAGTTCTCTTGACTTCTCGGTGTCACAGGGCAGCTAAGTGTACATCGAAGAAAAGTCGCCTATCTACACAGGGATCTGGGATTGCCCTACTATGAATTCCTTAACCAGATGAAACCACAGATTCTAAAGGAATGTGGATCCAGAGAAAGAACTATAGAGTTTGAATGCAAATCGAAGCACACTATTTGCTCTTTTTTCCCTGCTGTTTTGTTTTGTTTCCTCTTTCTTGTGGTTCCTCCTATTGGTTCTAATTCTTCTTTACAACATGACTAATGTGAAAATATGTTTAATAAGAATATATATATGTAGGATCTATATCAGACTGTGCACTGTCTTGGGGAGGGAGGCAGGGAGGAAGGGGGAGAAAAATTTAAAACTCAAAAGCGTATGGAACTGATTGTTAAAAACTAAATTAATAAAAAAAATAAAAAAATAAAGGCATTAGGGGAGTGATTTTGTTCAGTCTTTTTTCAGTTGTATCTGACTCTTTGTGACCTCATTTCGGGTTTTCTTGGCAGAGATACTACAGCGGTTTGCCATTTCCTTCTCCAGTTCATTTGACAGACAAGGAAACTGAGGCAAACAGGGTGAAATGACTCAACCAGGGTCACACACTTAGTAAGTGTCTGAGGCCAGATTTGAACTCAGGAAGATGAGAATCCCTGATTCCAAGCCCAGTGCTTTGTCCTCTTTGCCACTCAATTGCCCTTAGGGGTGCAGAGGTGAAACCAACTATAAAACAAGGAGACTGGATTCAAAAAGGTGAACTGGATCTAATGACTTCTCAAGACCCTTGGAACTCAATCAAGCCTCCTAGGATTCTCAATTCAACTTAATAAGCAAATGTATCTGTTTTGAACAGATATAGAAACAGTAGACAGAAGAGATGCCTGCAATGGGGAAAAGAAAAAAGGGAGGGTGGGGAAGAGCGTGAGGATTTAGTCCATTCATGACTAAGTGAAAACAATGGCTACTCAAAACAATTTCAGTGCTGATAATAATGCAATCATTTAAATTTGGCTTAAAGAGACTGGCACTGCACACAGGTAGTTTTATAGGGCACTACAATGAACTTCGGTTTCAAAGTTCCAAGTCTGGAATCTAGTGAATACACAGGAATTCTTGGAGAGAGGTGAAAGAAAGGATGAAGATCAAAAGACGCTGAGGGGGCAGCTAGGTGGTGTAGTGGATAGGACACCGGCCTTGGAGTCAGGAGGACTTGAGTTCAAATCAGACCTGAGACACATAATACTTACTAGCTGTGTGACCCTGGGCAAGTCACTTCACCCCAAATGTTTCACAAAAAAAAAAAAAGACACTGAAATCCACCTCCAATGATCACTTTAAAACACTCTCCTGAGCTGCATTTCTTAAATGGATCATCTTCAAGGTTCATTTGAATTCATTCACCCTTTTGAAATAAATTTCAGCACTGAAATATCCTACCCTTGAAATCTATGACACAAAAATTTAAGTAAGAAAGAGATTACCAGAAATAAGTGAGCCAAGACTTAAAGGTACAACACACCAGGAGTCACCTAATAAGAAGCCAGAGATGAACTGGGGGCATCTTCTGTCCCAAAATGTGCATCGCACTCCCTAGGACAGAGGAACAGACAAGGCCAGTGGGAACTCTCCCGGTCTGCACAACCAGCCCTGGGCCAAAGCCCGGGCACAAGAGGGGCAGTGCAGGGCATGCTCACTGGCATTCCACATGGGCTGCTCATTCTCCTGCAGCTGCTGAACAAACTCAAGGACAGAGGAGTAAATAAAAACCTGCTTCCTCCTCCTGCTCCCCTCATGGAGGCAGGCCCTAAGTCAGCAAGCTTCAGAAATAATGCTGTCTAGCAACAATCCGCTGAGATTTTTACCTTGTTTGGAAAGGGCTTCTCGGAGCGCTGGAGTGATCATCTCTCGCTTTTCCTGGGCTTCATTCTTCCCTGTATCCCAGGACAAATCCAGTTCCATATCCTGCTGCTCCTTTTCTTTCTAAATTAAAAAAAAACAAAGGTAGGTCAGTATTTTCCCCAGGATCACAATGAAAGCCCATCCCTGACCCCGAGCTACCCATCTGTCTCCTCTCCAGGGTTATCCCCTTTCCAGAAACACCAGATCAGAACTACCAAGCCCGTTTTTCAAGCCTCATCTCCTCAGCCTAGCATCCAAGGCCTTCCGCCATCAGCGTTCACCCTACCTTTCCCTCTCTCTCCCAGTCTCTATACTCCTGGGCTAAACATTTCCAACACTGTCTCACCTCCACTCCCAGGCCTTTCCCATTTCCTGGGCCTAAAATGCCCACCATTTATCTTCCATCTGTCAACATTCAAAGCCCAGCTTAAACGTTACCTCCTCCAGGCAGCTTCTTCTCCACACTTCACCCAATTTTAAAAGATCACTCCTTCCTTCATCCTCATCTCAGTTTTTACTCTCCTTATCCTAATCTCATAATTGAATGAATGCCAACTCTGTGACACTGTGGGGGTTTTCTCTGCCTCTAGATGCTAGATGTATTTATCTTTGTGGGACAGCTTCAGTCAGAGAGTCAACAAGCCTGTTCTAGACACTATGTGAAGCGCCAGTATTACAAAGAAATGCCAGCCCACGGCTGCCCTGAAGGAGCTCACAGCAGAATGAAAGACAACATGCAAAGAACTACATACAAACAAGCTATGTATGGGATCGATTCAAGATGGTCAGTAGAGGGAAGGCACGAAGACTTTGAGGAGGCCTGGGAAAAGCTTCTTGCAGAAGGTGGGAGTTTAGGTGGGACTCGAAGGAAGCCAGGTGAGGGAGATGAGGGAGGAAGATGCCTACTCCAGGCCTGGGAGAGAGCCAGTGAAAATGCCCAAAAGTCAAGCGATGGCCTGGCTTGCTGGAGGCAAGGCATGGAGGCCTAGATCACTGGATCCAAGAGTAAGGGGGATGGGGGCAGTGAACCAGTGTAAGAGGACTGGAAGGGGGTGCGGGAGGAGGAACAGAGGAAGAAGGGCTTTAAAAGCCAAACAGATCTGGAGGTAACAGGGAGCCCCTGGGGGCCGTGGGGGTGAGGTAGAGGGGATGACAGGGTCAGAGCTGGGTTTTCGGAAGCTCAGTTTGACAGCTGAGTGGAGGAGGCAGCCATTGCCACTGTCCAAGTGTGAGATGATGGGGGCCTGCACCCAGGTGGAGAGGATATCACAAAGGCAGAAACAACTGACTGGATGTGGGGGGTGAGTGAGGAACAGGGGTAGGGGATGACCCCCAGGGCGTGAGCCTGGGGGACTGGGAGGACGGGGGTGCCCTGGACAGTCACAGAGAAGGTAAGAAGACAGCAAAAGATAACGAGTTGGGTTTAGAGCACAGCAAGTTCAAGAAGTCCCTGGGGGAAGGGAACGGAAGTGCGGTGACGCTCACAACAGCCCTGTGAGGTAGGTGCTGTTATCACCCCAACTTACAGCTGAGGACATTGATCCTGCCACCTCCCGTCCCGTCAGTCTCTCCTCCTCTCCCCAGACCTCAGGCCTGGAGCATCTCGCTCCCACTTCTCTTCCCGTTGAAACCCTTCTTTCTCTCCAAGGTCCTACTCGGGAAGCACCTCTGCATTGCCTCCCCTCATCCCACCACCTGAGTAAGGGATTTCTCCCTTCCAGCATTCTCTGGGGATTTCTCATAGGATTTGGAGCTAGAGGAAACCTCTGAAAGCATCTAGACTAACCCCCTCCCTTTACAGATGAGAAAACTGAGGCCCAGAGCAGTGAGGTGTCTCCCCTCGAGATGACACGGGTGGCAGGCAATAGGGCTGGAGCTGAAAGACAGGTCCTGAGAATCCACACGCAAGGTTCTTGCCACTTCATTCAGAGAATCGGGGAATTGGAGGCATCTCAGGGAGGTCACCGGGCCCAGCCTGTACACAGAAGCAGTACTACCTGTGCCTTTGCCCCTGTCACATGATACCTCGGGTTAGCTTTGTCTACACATCCTGTCCCATTTGTACACTGGGAGCATCCCTGGGGCAAGCACTGTAAGCTTTACCTCCAGGAGCTAGCCAAGTACCTTACTACGTTGGAGGTGTTTGATACACATTTGCTGAATGACATTATCATTATGAATAATTAATAATCGTCATTAACAAACAGTTAATAAAAAGCTGGCATTCATATTGTGCTTCAAAGTTTACAAAGTGCTTTATAAATATCTCATTTTATCTTCACAACAATGGGGAAGAGAGTGTAGATGCTGCTATTTTCTCCTTTTTACAGATGAAGAAACTGAGGCAGAGGTTGTCTGAGGCCAGATTTGAATTCAGGTCTTTCTGACTCCAGACCCCAGGGCTCTGTGCACTGTGCCATCAGCTGCCCAAATGAAATGTGCTCACCTTCTGAAGAGTGCCATTTCTACATGCAACTTCAGTGATCAATTAAATCATGATCCTGGCTCTCTTTAAAAGGCCACTAGAGAATCTGGAGCCCAGAGGCATGAAAGCCTATCCTCCAGGGCTGACAAGCACACTTTGGAATGGCCAATCATTTGTCTTCTCACAAAAGGCCTTGGGGAATAGCGGGGATACCTGAGTGACACCTTCATCCCCGTTCTCTCTAATTTGATCCTCACACCATCCTAGGAAATGACCAATAAAAGGTCACGGGGCCAGGAAGTCAGTCATCCAGCCTCAAGATGGGCAGAGTGGAGGCTGGAAGGGGCTGGAGAGACAGGGTGTTGAGGCCTCCCTGCCCTCCTGCCCAGCTGTGGGCTGGATCAACCACTCTGGGCAGCAAGTTGGAATTATGCTAAGAAAGTGACTCAGGGGTATATGCCCTCTGCCCCAGCAATCTCACCACAAGATATATATCTCAAGTGGTACAAGGCAAAGAATACCGACTTTGGCATCGGGGATCTGGATGCCAGGCCTGCCTCTAGCATTTATTGCCTACTTGACCCTGGGGAATCACTTCACCTCTGGGCCTTCAGTTTCCTGAAATGTAAAATGAAGGTGTTAGTCTAGATGGATGAATGAATGAACAAGCATTTATTATGCATCTGTTATACGCCATTCACTGTACTAAGCGCTAAGAAAATAAAAACCAAGCAAAACAATACTGGGAGAGTTAGAGGGAGGTGTGGGGGGTGGAGTCTGGAGGTCAAAACCACTCCACCATACTATGTGTGGGTTGGGGAAGACAGGAAAGCTCCTGGTGGGCCTGTACCGTGATAGAAAGAAAGGTCTGCCAGACACTAAACCACCTGCAGCTACAAGGCAGATGCCCGCTGAGGGGGGGCGGGCAGACCACTGGCAGCTCGTGACTATCACAAAATACTGCTCTGCGTAAGAGGCGACACCTATGAAGACTTCCGAGAAGCCCAAGAAGACTGACATGAGCTAATGTGTGATGAGATAAGCAGAGCCAGGACAACATGGCCAGTAACTTACAGTTACAACGTAACTGGAACGACAAAGGAATCCAGCTGGGACGCAGAGGCAGGGGACTATGGATGGGGACTTCTACATCTAACGTCGGACCTGCCGATGTGTAGTTAGCTTTTTGTGGCTTTTTCCCCCCATCACCCTGCATATTTACTATAAGGGGTGACATTCTGGGAAGAGACTGGAAGAGAGAGGTACACTAGTAAAAGTGCTTGGTAAAAACCAGAAGATGCCGTTGGGAAAAAAAATTTTTTAATAAAAATATAGAAATAAGGAAATGAAAGTTGTCAAGCTCAGGTTGAGATGCAAGACCAAGTCCATAGAGGAACACCCTGCATCCCGTTCTTCTGCAAAAGCTACATCAGTTCACGCTGACCAAGGGAAGAAAGAATGAAATTCTGAGCTAATTTCCTGCCCGTGTTCTAGTTATTCTTTTGAGTGACTCCCCAGGAAAGTAGAGGAAGAGGAAATACACAGGAGAGTGGAGAGACAGGGTTGTCAAATGAGTAGAGCAGCCTCACACCATCAAGTCCTATTTGCAATAAAAGTTAATGTTTCAAATTACTAAATATAGTCAAAATGCAAAATTAATGAAGAATTTTGCTGCTGTTAATACGGTTTTTAACCACGCATTTCCAGATGGATTTGAAGAAACTTAGAAACAAAACATCAATCATTTGCTCTCATCTCCTCCACGGTGTTCAAGTGTTTGGCGGAAACCAAATAGCTCCATTTATCTGCTAGTCTAATTTTTTTTAAAGCTTTGTGATTTTTTTTTTCATTTATAGATTTGAAGGCAAAAGGCAGAGGCAGGAAGAGGAAGCCATATCATGAGCCAACCTTCACCTTGCAGTGACTTAGTCAGAGCCTTTGAAGTAGATCCTCCTTCTCTGTGGTAACGTTTTTCCACTACAAATCACACACAAATTGACTAGAGGCATCACTACCTGCCTTTGAAAACCTTGGCCACCACCAAAAACAAAGGCCTCGGATTCACTTGCTTCTTCCAAAAGCAACATAAATCCCAAAGTCAAAGCCTGGCTGTGCCCCTGGTCCCTGGCCTCTGACCACTCTGCCCAGCTCTACAAATGCCACAGGAAGATTTTCTCTTCTTTTTTTGATGTTTCTGAATTCCTCATGGTGAAGTGAACAAACTTCTTAAGAGGGCCAGGAAACATTTTCTGGGCCAACTCACAGGATACATTATTGATTTCCCTTATAAAATATAAACATTGCTTCTCTTGATTTAAAAAAAGAAAGAAAAAGACATTTGAGGGAGAGGGTAAGCAGAGATGAGGCTGTCAGGGATCCCTGTTTCATTTTGGAGCAGTCAATCCTACGCTGAGCACAAGGAGGAAACTTCTTCTACAAAGAACCATGGCCGAGGCAGCTAGGCAGCACAGTGGATAAAGCACCAGCCCTGGAGTCAGGAGGACCTGAGTTCAAATCTGGCCTCAGACATATAACACTTATTAGCTGTGTGACCCTGGGCAAGTCACTTAATCCCATTGCCTAGCCAAAAAAAAAAAAAAAAGAAAGAAAGAAAGAAAGAATGAACCATGGCCAGTGAATAAGGTGCCTCCCCTCC